TAAGGGAGAAAATACTTTTTTCCTAGAATCAGTCACCCCTACTTTTCATTTTGAGCATGGCATACTTCAATTTGTTGTATCTTATTTGTACAATGCGTCAGCTGCGGTCGACTAATAGTCGATTGGGGAGAGTAATATAACTTTTGGAGAAGTTACGTTTTTTGGTTTCATGATCCTAGTAGTGATAGCAGATGTGAACAGAGATAAAAGAATGTAGAAATGGAGAATGCATTTCATAGAGGAATGTATTAAGCAATCGTAATTAATTTTAGAATAATTTAATATAAATTAGATTAGGATGATCATGAAGATGGAGAAGATGATGTACGAGAAATGAAATGAGTACTCAGTGAATCCATTAAAAGACATATAAGCTTGAAATTAATTCATGACCCGAGGCATGTACAATCTAGTTATTACTGCCTGCTGTATATCCGTGGCTACAGTGGTTATCCTTGTTTATTGATATGTCATTTTAGTGCCGGTTTTTCGATTTTCCGTTGCGTCCACGTTTCTTTTGGCAGCAACGGAGTATTCGGATCCATCCCAGCTTTAAGAATTATGGAGCAAGAGTAATGCCAATATTGGACAAGTATGATGAATGAACGTAGATCTATTGTTTAGGGTATGATGTAATGTTAAAAAGTTGCCATTTTGTATATAAATATTTATGAATAGAGTACCTAGTTCTATTGTTACAAACAAGGTGTTAGATTTAGATTGCTGCTATTAACCGAATGAACGCATTAATAAATGAGATTCGTATATCACACTTGACAGAATGAATCAACGGTTGTCTCGTACGTAAATGAAACAAAAAGTAGGTTTCAGTGTAACCGAAAAGGGTCTACGAATCGTTACAATTGGCAGAAATCTAGGGGTAATTGAGTACACTTTACGTAATTGCATGACAGTTTTAGCTTTTCTTTTCCTCTCATTTCTTCGTAATAAATTTGTGGGTTGATTTATTACAAATCAATTCAATAATATACATTTTATGTTTACTGATACATTATTCCTTGTCCTTCGATATGGATCTCGATATTAACTACGTAACTTACCCGGATGGAGAGGATCATGTTGACGAGAGAAATTTGAAAATAATTGAATGTTGCTACATGTTCTCTTACGGAGAGAATTATGAAAGAGAATTATGAGAGAGAAATATGAAATGACAAACAGAGTATGTTAACGACAAATTAATAAGTAAATATGTGTAATAAAAATTAGGTAAAAAATAGTCATGTCAATAGTCAACAAAAAGCCCTCGGCTACAAACCCTGGAGCTTTTTTTCGCTGCTAGATCATTAGAATCCTTACAACACACTTGGTCATAAATAACTATATTAATGTCTTTAAAATATACATTCATTTGATGGATATTCTTTTCAGTTAATTCAAATATCAGAGAGTACAGAGAATGTTACGATTTTCTGAAAATAGTTATTCCGGGATATTCAATCTGACAGTTATGTCTTCTAGCTCTAAGAGAATAGTCGAAAAGATGACCCGTCATATTGGTCAGGATTATCACTTGACACTATCTTTTACATGAACGTCGCCTTTGCGACTTTGCCACTGTCAGACCTCCTACTTCTACAAGTACTGTAGTACTCGTACCCTGCCTTATTACACTTCCTTAAACTCATTTCCTCCTTCGCCAACACCTCAACTGCATCACTTCTGTCAGTACCACTAACTTCTCCATTGCCTGATATGTCATTCCTACCTCTACAACTTTCTCCACTTGACAACGTCCTCTATCCCCAACATCCCTTATGTCTGTCACAAGCATTGTCACGCCTGTCACTTCCATATATAGCGTTTCTCCAACAACCCCCGGTGCACGTATCGGCTAGAGACGTATGCGGCTACAGACGGTGCACGTATCGGTGTTGTGACCAGAGCCAGCATTGCCGAAGTCTCTGCAGTGATTCTGACCGGGAGATCCTAGGTTTCGGAACATTCCCAACGGTGTTTCGCCACCCTCCCACATTTGCTTCATAGGCAGGTCGAATGCAGCCTGTGTGTGGAGCTGAGAGGCCAACGTTTCGCCTGTCATGTCGCAGACTTCCTCAGGGCAAATACACAACAATGCTGCGCGTCTGGTTTATATACTATCCGGCCTGATCGTTTGGGTGGGGCAGCCTGCAATATGACCGGCAACACGTCAGCCACAGCCTGAGGCGCGGCGTCAACTGGAGAGCGAAGAAGACGTGGGCCACGGATGCTTACGTTTACAAGGTACGCCCTGGATAAAACTTTCAATACGCTTACGCGACTTAATACCGTAGCAGTTGACGTGCCCGGAAACATCAACCAGTCAATCAATCCGACCTCCCCTCCACGACGTCCTCCATCTACGGCCGCGCTCTAAACCGGCCACTCCCACCGCCTCCACAATGTCACGTCCATTCTCCCCTCCAATCCAAGGCGCACCCTCCTCCACCCCTCCAACGCCTCCCCCGCCCGCAGGCACCCAGCCTAGACTCAAGAGCCGCACCGCTTTCCCCGGTCGTAAACCCCCGCGATTCCCTTACACGCCCCCGCGAGAGCGCCTCGCGCCCCGCCCGCCCGCCCGCGCCTACGCGCCCGCCGCCCCGCGCGCGGGTCACTAAACGCGCGCCGCCGCCGCCGCCGAGCGCAGCCGGCAGTTTGTCAAAACCGATAGAACCAATTATACTTCTCCCTCTCGCAAGCCCAGAAGCGGTGCTCCTTCCCACCGTCGCCCCCGCCGCCGTGGGCGCTCAAACAAGTTCACCCTTGGATCAACTTTCTTTAAAATTGTCTTAAAATTCCCGTAATCATTTGATTAAGCCCCATGAAGTGAGTCGGCAGCAAGGGGGAAGCCGAGCTGGGACTTAGCTTGCAGACGAAAAGAAACGAGCGCCTGTATTCTGTTAGAAAGAACGAAAAAACACACAAAAAAGGGGAGAAAGAGTGGTCTCTTGAGACCAAGGGACTTCATTTTGATCATGTTAGGCCGTGCTTCGCGATAAATACGAGCTGAATTATAAACAATGGCTGCTACTTGTTCTAATTGCAACCTCCGTGGAGGGGAGTAGTCATTAAGATCGGACGTCGGTTGAGCTTTTCTTTTTATTCTTTTCCGCTGATGGGGTGTTCACGGCCTTACCGAGACTTTTAAACGAGGTTCAGGGTATAAAAGTAGGGTAAACGAGGGTTGGAACTTGTGTCTCGTAAAAATAAAGACGAGGTAAAGCCGACAGGATCCGAAGACTTATCGGACTCGTCCTACGCGTGTTTCGGGGAGAATGTAGCTCGAGGAAGAGTGTTTACGAAAGAAAAGCCGGTTCTGGTTGTTTTCTCGTCGATTGGTTTATCTTGTCGAAGGGGAAGAACGCTGATTTTTTTTCGTGATTTTTACGTTTTGTTGTAATACGTCAGATCTGATTGAAATTGGAAAGAAACACCAATTGCATTTACGCGAATAATGGACGAAACATTTTCTGTTGTTCATTAGTAAAGTACAGACATAAGAAAAACGGTTCATGATTGTGTAGTTTTTTATGGTCGTTATTGATTTTCATTTCATGTTCTCGTTTCGTGATGTGCTTCACTTTTTTAGTACGAATGTTTTTGATAGCAAAGGTGATTTATCAGTAAACACCTTTGGACACAACAGTCGAATGAAAAACCTCTGTCTCGGGTAACATTCACCTCCTTAGTAAAAATATTTACAGTATTTGTCGACATTTGTGCTTTAATTGAGAAATGTAGAATAAAGTTCCGTTTTCGTTGCTCATTATTGACATTTTCATGAAGAAAATAAATATTGAAACTTTAAATATTTTATTTATTTTACAATATATTTAAATGTACCATTTAAACATAATCTAGTAGTTCAATTGAAGCTTAACATAAACGCGAGAGCCCTGAGAGTTGTTAGTATTGCTGAAATAGTCGATATACGGTTATTTGTGGGGCTGGAGTGATCTATGGGGTCGACTGGTTTAATATGTTTTAGTATGATGGGTGACGTACCTATGATCGTTCGGGAGGATGCTATCGAAGGTGTCTGAATTCTCGGTGGCGACGCTTGTTTAAGGTGTTGGGGTTGGCGGTGTCTATGGCGTCTGTGTGGTCATTATAGTGAGTGATGACTTCAAAGTGGTCGATGTGGTTGGTGAGGTGGATGGGATGGATGTTGGTGATGGGGTCAGTAGGTCGGTGTGGTCAATGTAGTTGGCGTGGTTTGTGTTTAGTGGTGCCGCTGACGTCAGTGGAGTTGGCGTGGTCAACGTGGCCAAAGAGGTCGCAGGGTTAATTGGGTCGATGTAGTAGGTGGTGCCAGTGTAGCCGTTGGGGCGTAGTCTGGGGTCGTAGCTCAGGGTGGGTTAGGGGAAGTGGAGCGGTAGCAAGGCGGCTTCTCCGGCGCGACGGTGATGGAGCGGCGTTGTTGGCGGCGCTGAGAGCCTAAGCGAAGTCTAAGCCAGCGGAAGCTTAGCGAGGTAGAGCGGGGCGGAGTAAGACGAGGCTAGGCGGAACGCGTGGCCTGGCGTGAACTGCAGGTCGGAGAAAGGCTGATCGGGGTAGGGGGTTAATGAGAGTGGTGGGGCAAAGAGGAGTGGAGCGGGGATGGTGTGAGGCAGTGTGGGAGGAGTGTGGTTCGGCAATGCGAGGAAATGTGTGGCGGGGCGTGGCGGGAAAGCAGTGGGAGGCAGTTCGAGGAGGATCGTGGCGAGGCAAGGCGGGGCGAAGAGTGACAGGGACAGGAGGGGTGGTGAGGGAGAAGAGTGGCGGAGGAAGTCGCAGTAAGGTAGAGTGGGGCGGAAATTAGCGAGGTGGGGGTGTGAAGTTGGGCAGGGCGATGCGTAGATGGGCGAGACAGGGCGTGCGGGGATAAGCAACGAGAAGCATGAGGCGAGGGAAGCAGGATAAGCGTGGAGGGCGAGTGGAACGGGGTCGAGCAGGGGTCGAGCGGGGGTCGAGCGGGGGTCGAGCGGGGCTCGGGCGAGTGTCGAGTAGTGTTGAGCTAGTGTCGAGCGCGGGCTGGTGCTGGAGGCGGTGCTCGAGACGGAGTGGGGGACGGAGCGAGTAAACGAGTGGGAGCAGAGTGGAGGGTGCGGAGGGAAGAGTGGTGGCCGGAGCGGGGTTAGGTGCGGAGCGGAGCGGTGCGAGGGCGGAGCGGGGCGGCATGCGGGACAGGGGAGGTCAAGTCAGCGCTCCGCTGATCGTGTCGATGAGTGGCGAGGAGAAGCGTGGCGTGTGGGGCGGGGCGGAGTGGGGCGCGAAGGAGCGGCCGGGGGCGGGGAAGGAAAGTGCGGGGCGTGGGCGGAGGCGTTTCTTGCCTTGCGCGTGATTGCCGGCGCCGTGTTTGCCGCCTGTCGCCCGAGACGCGCGGGGGAGGGGCAGGTTCTTGCGCCGCGCACGAGGCCCCGGGCGGAGGGCGAGCGCTCCCTGGCGGAAAGCGGTGTCACGACAAGGCCTCGCAAAACGCCACTTTGCTCGCAAACAGGGTGTGCGGCAAACCGGCCTCCGACTTCCTGGCGGCTGCCTCGTATAACATTCACCTCATTTTCCAAAAAAGAATGGTATTTTGTGTCTTTTGAACTTTAATTTTGAAAAGTAGATTTATGTTCTACATTCGATGGTTAGTTTGAACATTTATTTACTGGAAAAAATAAATATTCAACACTAAACAATGTTACATATTTTACAATGTATTTATTAGACATATAAGCTTTAAGCTCTCTACTGATCTCTCGATATGTGTGATAGTTAAGGGCATGAACGTGTAAGTGTATGTAAGAAAGGAGATGAGGATAGGACAAGGAAGAGGAAGAAGAGATCAGCGCGGTCTGTGACCCGTTTTTTAGGGTACTGCTCCGGCATTCGCCTGGCGTTTTCGGAATAAATCGGAGAAACCACGGAGAACTACCGATCAAAGCAGCAGGCCGCTAGAATTTTCTTCCACACCGCACCTAAATTCAACCTAGCTCCCTAGCTAGTGACGAAAACCTTGGCCCCATCGGTACACGAACGCTAGGACGTCCCGAACCGTGGCCCTGCAGTGATTATTCCCTGAACTATCTAAAGGTAGGGCAGGGCCTTATAACTCCCATATAACGTGGTGGAAACCATATCGGTGGCGTGTTCTGCTGCATCACTGTCTTACAGAAACTATGACACGAACTGCTGCCAACGATACTTAAATGGTGCGTGGCTACTGCGTGAGTTCGCGGGTCGCAAGCAGGCCCATAATGTTACAAAAGATAGCGCCGATGTTCGCGCTTTCTTCAGGGATTTCTTATAAATATAGATTATGAATAATTAAATAACTGAATAATAATTTAAAAGCCACTTGTATTTCTCACAAATTAGCCAACTTTTATGTGAGCGGCAGCAGTGTGAAAATTAGCCAATTTTTATGTGGGCGGATGCAGTCGGTGAATGAAACCTGCAGCTGTACCTGGCGACACTAGCGCCTCCTAGAGAAGCACCCTGAAGCTTAGTCTCCTGTTTGACCGAGAGTTGCAAGGCCCTGAGGTACATCTTCAGCGGCAGTGCATTTCCGCGCGCCAAAGCGCTCCTCTCCGCTTGCGGCGCCGCCTGTAGTCGCGGCACGCGGTTCTCGCCTCCGGCGGCCGAGGCGAGAGGCTGTTTCGCGCGCGCGGGGGAGGCGTGCCTCGGAAGCTGCGAGAGCGCGGACGGAGGGCAAGGCTATGGAGGAGGGAAAGGAAAGGAAGGGGTGAGAAGAAGGAAAAAGGGGGTACAACGGGAGAGGTGGCTCAGAGCACCAACTGATGTCAGTGCCTCTGATCGGGAGGTCCTAGGATTCCAGTATCTACAGGGCACTGCAGTGGCGGGGTATTCGATCCCGACCAGATAGCTAATTCAATCTGTCTGGAGGAGAATTTTCGCAGTGGTGGTGTTTTGTAGTGATAAACGTCGAGTAATTTATTTGCTTTTGAGAAGTGAGAGTGATACGTTTCGAAAAAACATTTAGTGTGCTATTCTTCAGCAGTATTTTGGCTGTTGTAGGCCACTACCTCTTAATTTTATTATAAAACAAAACAATTTCAACAAACGCCTCAAACAGAATGTCCTCGTCGCTGGTTAGTCGTACGCCGTTCCTTTCGTTAGAGCTTCCTCGCGCGAGCGGGCGAGTATTTCGTAAGGGCCGGGCGCTCGGGCATTCTGTTTTAATTCTGTATTCACGAAAACAGTTTTTCTTAAATTTATTATTATTTATTTAATAGGTAATTATTACAAACAAACTAGCTTACTTGATCCTATGTGGCTAGGCCGAAGGCCTTTAAGCCATTACAATACCTACATCCTTCCGCGTTCTAATCTTTCGAAATCTGGTATTCCCCCCAAATGGTCTCTCCATCGCATCAAAGCCCCGGGAGAGAGCATAAGAAGGGAACGCTCGCGATCTCTTCTTAAATTTGATTTATTGTGGTGATAAACGTCGTCGTAGAGCTACCCAGTGGGTATGTCATCGCTCAGAAATACGGAGTACGATTATGTACTAATTTTCAGTTACTCGTACCTTCAGGCCACTTTAGTGAATACATCCATTATATTACATAAAGAATCCTAACATTCATCTGTCAAGTGGTAATCCCACATATCTGATTAAATAAAATAAAAAAATGAGTATTTTATTGGTTTTTGAGTAGTGAGCGTGCTTCATTTCGAAAAAAAAAAAAAACAACCAACATTTTGTGGGCTTGTCTTTAGCAGAATTTTTCTGCCGCAGACCACTAACTATTAATTTTATTGTAAAACAAAACAATTCCAACAAAGACGTCAAACAAAATGTCCTCGTCGCTGGTGAGTCCTCCGCCGCCGCTTCGTGGGACCTTCGTCGCGCGGGCGGGCGAGAGTTTCGTGAGGCGCTCGGGCGTGTGGGCGAGGGGGGGCAGGAGGTGCAGTGCAAACCGAGGGGAAACGAGGTGGATTCTCCATCGTCGTCACGAACACATATCGCGCACGCCCTGTCTGTCACGCGGCTTCCCTTCGCAGGAGAGAAGAGAGCAAACAGACGTTTAGCACACAAGCGATCCCAGGCCTTAGCGACTCCTCAACCCCCGACACCCCGCAGGTAGTCCTTCTTTCCGTAGGCGTTGTGGAAGGGACCGACAAGCTCCAAAAATAATTTTAATAGGCTCTTTACGGATGGAAGTTTTCAACCGTTGTGTGTAGTTTTAATTGTGTAACCTTTCAGTAGACAATATAGATTAGCCAGCGCCGAATTCAATTCAAATTGGGCTTCAAGATTGATTCACTGTTTTTTCTGGGCACGTCAACGGATAAGGTCATTAGTCCCGTATGTGTAGTGCATATTTTACCGCGTGAGATGACGCTGATCTTTCCTCGTTGGATGGCGAGATACGGCGCCACCTATGTCGACGTGTGGAGATTTTCCCCAACCAGGTATCTCCCACCACTGCCTCGGGGAAAGCTCTACGCTCCCGACCGGTCTCCGGACATGTAAGGTGGTGTAATGCATGCAAGTGTAAGTGTGTGCAAGAAAGGGGAGGGAAGAGGACTAGGAATGGGAATGAACGATGGCAATCTGTCTCTCACGCGGCTTTGCTCTGCAGAAGAGAAGAGAGCAAACTGACGTTAACATTTGACCTTAACTTCCCGTCAGTGTTCATTATTCCCGTAGGCGTTGTACAAGGGACCGACATGCTCGAATACAATTTCAATATTTTTCGGATCGAAGTTTTCAATGTATGTGCGCAGTCGTGATATTCGTAATCGCAATATCGGTTGTGCATCAGATAACGTATCGGGCTGTTGGACATAAATAGGAAAGAGGGCACGCGATCCGTTGCGCGTTTGTTAGGGTACCGCTGCAGTGTTCGTCTGGTGTTGATCGGAGAAACAACAGAAAACTACCGATGAGAACTGCTGGCTAGAATTATCCTCCAGACGGCAGCTGAACTCGACTTAGAAATTAACCTAGGGTCTAAATTCCGCCACCGTTGGGACGTGAACCCCCACCCCCGATCAGAGTCACAACAGTGGGAACAATCAACTCAACGAGAGAAATTACTGAACAAATTTTGCAAACCCGTACGCGAGAAAATCTCCTGCGTGTCTAACGATACTTTAATTTGTATGATATTTACTACACCCGACTTTGCAAAGTCCTCACAACCGACAGATTTTATTCCGTGCATTTGTGCACAACCGAGTGACCACACGTCACCTCCACCTCCACCTCCACCGCCTCCGCCGCCCCTGCCGCGCCTTGTGTCCACGGGGCAGTGTTTGTTCTCGTTTTTAATCAGCGCTTGCGCAAACAAGTACATCCTGCCAGGCGCAGAGCGGCCACGCCAGCGACAATGCCGTCAAGCCAGCGGTATCGGGCACAGTAGCTGGAGCGACACACGCCTTTCGTATTGCAGCTGTTCTCTGTGATGTTTTAATCTCGTTGCTACTCGTACTAGCCGATAAATTCGATGTGAAGTGACGAAGGTGCGAAATATTTGATCGATAATGTTTTCATTAAAATTCATTTGGCATTAAAATTATAAATTTAATTTTGTATTCACCCATCGGCGGAAGAGGACAAGACAAAAAGTAGAAAAATGAAATAAACAGAGGATGACACAAAATTAGGACAATGGAAATCATTCAATTATGAAAGAAAAAATATTGCTTTTAAAGCCTTTTATCTATTAAAGTGCGCAAACGTTTTATTGTGTCTTTTTAGCATTTTAAAACCTAGATGAGTGTTTAATTTCCCATTCATCAATATTGTCTCAGACTTTACAGACATAAGAAGAAAGCAACATATATACGATAAAATATATAAGAGTGCTTTCTTTATGCGATCTGGTGAATAAGTCAAATCATCTTTTTGGTAAAAAGTAAGAAATTATCGAAAAAGAATTAAGAAAAAAATAATAAACGAAAAACAACAGATCAAATATTTGTTTTTCAAAAGTAATAAAAATGCACCGAATTTATAGGGAATTTAAATTGTACATTAAACGTAAATGTATTTATCATTTAACCGAAGCTTCAGTCATTTTGTCTTCAATAAATTGGATCCACTTGTGTTAGTACCATAAATACAGTGCAGCAATAAAAAAATAAGTATCATTTTAGTTTTATCCGAGAGAATATTTTAAGAAATGCACTAGCGAGGTAATATGCGCTGTTCTCTCAAAAAACAGAAATGAAGAACGAAACAGACTAGTTACATGAATGCACGAACTTCAATCGCTTCTCGGCAGCAACTCATCAATCGTTCTGTAGTGATCAAAACACTGCACGGACGCGTGATAATCTGACACAGCCCATTCTGTGTCATCTCTGCGATTTTCATTGCTGTGTTTCAACCTACGAGTTCCGATTTTTGATTTCAATGCTCTAACGTTTCAGAACTGTCAGCGTAAAACTCAAAGGCATATGACGATAACTTTTCTATGTTTTTTGGCACTGAAT